TGAATATGTTTCATAAAAGAAAGTAGAAAATATTGTTTTCAAAATGTTAGTTTTTTTTCATCTATATAATAAAAAATAAAAAACCCAGTGGTGATCAAATACCACCAAAAAAAGCTCTATTTGTGTGGAAAAAAGGTTATATAAATGTCATTTTTTTTTTTTACAAATTTGCATGACCATGCAATTGCCAGTTAAAATAGCGCAGTGCTAAATAGCGTAAAATGGCCTGGTCATGAAGGGGGTAAAACCTTCCGGAGCTTAAGTGGTTAATGTTGACTATCACATGACCCCAGCTCCCAGCCTGAAGTTCAGGCATTAGTGAGTGCAGTTCCACTTGTCCCCACATGGGCGCTTAAGCCCCACCTACAACCACAATAAAGACACACCTACATCAACACCTCTCAAAACATGCCTCTTGAGTCTTCTGTCCAACCAACATTTTTCATAGGATTCTACCACGATTATTGATATCGTTCAGCAGATAACACCAGCAGGAAGGGCATTAAGAGATCCGGCATCCCTCCACACAGTGTGTAACTGGCTACTGCAGCTGCCAATCCGATCACAGAAATTCAACTGGAATATAGTAGCCAGCTACACATTGTGCAGATCAAGGCTGTGTCTGTACGGGAATCTGATCTCAGTTACGGTGAAGGAAATAAGTATTTGATCCCCTGCTGATTTTGAATGCTTGCCCACTCACAAAGAAATGATCAGTCTAAAAATCGAATGGTAGGTGTATTGTAACACTGAGAGACAGAATAGCAACAAAAAATTCAAAAGAAATGCATGTCTTAGGCCCCATGTACACGGGACACTTCTGGATGATGGAAACTGACTGCTGGAAAACGTAGGTAAAAAAAGTCTGTTTAGCCGCATTTGCATAACGCGTTGATGTGCGTTTATGCGTGTTTATGTGCGTTTGCATTTTAGAAGCGTTTTTTAACCATTTCAATACCGGGCACTTTTACCCCCTTCCTGCCCAGGCCATTTTTCAGGTTTCAGCGCTCTCACACTTTGAATGACAATTGCGCGGTCATGCAACATTGTACCCAAACTAAAATGTTATCATTTTCTTCACACAACTAGAGCTTTCTTTTGGTGGTATTTAATCACCACCGGGATTTTTATTTTTTGCTCAATTAACAAAAAAAGACCAAAATGTTTGAAAAAAAACACGTTTTTCTTTGTTTCTGTTATAAACATTTGCAAATAAATAATTGTTCTTCATAAATTTAGGCCGAGATGTATTCTGCTACATGTCTTTGGTGAAAATAACCCAAATTAGGATGTATTTTTTAGTTTGTAGGAAAGTTATAGAGTTCACAAACTATGGTATAGATCTGAATATTGATCAATCCTGAAGTACTGACAGCCAATCTAATTTATTGAGGTCCAAGAATGTCAGAACAGTACAGATATCCTTCAAATTACTTTTTTGCAAAGTAGACAGTCCGACGTACTTTATAAGAGGCATTGCAAGTTTTTTGAAGTTGTATTTTTTTGTCATAATTTTTCGGAAAATTAAAAAAATTATTTTTACTATTTTTTTTTACATACTGTCACCAGTGCAGTGCAGTGTCATCATATAACTGGCATGGCGGTGATCAGGGGCACTGAGAGTATGAAAAAAAAAATATATAATTTTTTTTTTTTAATTTTTTTTATAATTTTTAATTTTTTATTACATTTTTTTTCTTTTTTTTTTAAGATTTTTTTTTTCATATTTCACTATGACCAAAGTAGTACAATGTTACCATAGTAACATTGTACTAATTTGGGGAAGTGATCAGTATTTTTATTTTTTTTTACACAATTTGCTTATAGCAAAGAATTACTTTGCTATAAGCAAGCATTTACCTGAATGACATCGATTCATTCAGGGTTTTTTTTTTTTTTTTTTTTTTTGTGCTTAGCTGTGATTTGGCCATGGCTAATCACATGACACAGCTGGGCTGTGATTGGCCCAGCTTGTGCATATGATCACTGTGACCATTCACAGCTAGGCACACTAGTATACAATGGATGGCATGAATGAAGCCATCCATTGTATACAACTGTCATGTGACCTGCTGTGATTGGTCACAGCAGGTCACATGGTACTGGCAACGGGGCTGGTACTCAGATCTGTCATCGGCCATGTCCGAGGTACACGGCCGGTGACAGATCGCGCCGCTGTGCGGCTCTGCAGGTGCGCAAACTGCGCAAGCCCGGGAGGACGCCATATGGCGTCCACCCAGAACGCTGAGGGATTTTGCCGGCCGCCAAACGGCCATTGGCCGGTGTCAGGGAGTGAGGAGCCAGACACACAAGGAGGTGCAATTAAAGGTAGGTTTATTAATATCAAAATAAGACAAGAGCCTATGCAAGTCCAATAGTGGATATCGCAGTCGGGATCAAGAGCCAGGAAGAATCGTCGCAGAGCCGGGATCAGGAGCCAAGAAGAATCGTCACCAGAGCCGGGATCAGGAGCCAGGAAGAATCATCACCAGAGCCGGGATTAGGAGCCAGGAAGAATGGTCGCCAGAGCCGGGGTCAGAAGCCAGGAGGAGTCTTAGCCAAAGCCGATTCGGTATCCAGGAAAGCAATGAGTAGCAAAACAGGAGCTTGCTGCTGTGCAAGAGACAGGACACGAATGCAATGGACAGCTACAAACAGCAGACTTATATGTGATAAGCCGCCACCTCCTGGGGGAGGAGCCACAGAGGGCTGAAAGCATAAAGGATCCCACAATGTTTTGCAGACACCTAAGATGGATGCCAGCACATGGAGCAGCACAAGCCCTGAGGAAGGGTAGGACCTTAACAGCCGGGCAGCAAATGGTTAAAGATAAGCACAGGAGAACCTCCCAAATGCCCAGCATGCACTGAAAAGTGGTAAATTATTAACTATTTCAGACTGTTTCAGAGAAATACACAGAGTAGAAGCAGAGACAGCAGTATATGTTGACATTAGCTAGGTGTGAGTTGCTCATTAACATTTCTTTTGTTCCAAGGGTGGGAAGGTGTCTGCTGGAGTGAGTCATTAAAGCCACCTGGCAGGGGGCCTGCAAGAGGAATTTGAGGTGTGAATGGACATTAACATATATCTTCCACTAGACCATCTGGGAATATTAGTGTCATATTGTGCCATATTGGGGCACTCTATTACTGTATATGTGGGTAATGTGTGATATTATGTGCTGGCCTTGTTTTAAATCCCATTATGTTATTTAGGGGGGCACCGCATAGTGTTGTGTGCATATATTAGAAGGTTCTGATGTACTTTTGCAGTGACTAATCTGTGTTTTGCATTGTAGACGGCTGTATTGTGAAAGGGACATTTTATATATATCTTGTGTGCAAGGTAATTTTTTAATTGTATTGTTACATCCATATATGAATGAGGGCTAGCAATATAGTGCAATATCAATAACTGCATAATCATTTGATTCCATGTTCTTTATTTTTTTGTTCTAAATTTTTATTTTTTTTTCCCCAAATCACAAAACCTGGTTTTATGGGGCATTTTACGTTTCCACATCCATGGTCATGAAAATTAAAAGCAGGAATAAAATTCACTTTCTGTCCATTTTCTTCTGCATTATGAACATATCATGACCTCAGTGCCTGAATTGTGGAGTCAGTGTTGAAACATGGCACTTGTAGATGATGTTTCTCGATCCTTTAGGACAGCAACATTTTCAAATGCGCCTCAGATTAATTTTAATGTGTACGGTATCTGCGGGAAATGTGCCAAAACATTCAACAGCTATCATGTAACTGTAAAGAGAATAAATAGCAGAAGCAGCACTTTAGTATATTGTACACTGCTTGTAGCTTAAAGGCATAAGTCCACGTTTTGCAAAAAATTGAAAAAATGCACCCTAAGGCACATTATTAAAATAAAAATGTGCATTAGTTCAACGTTTGCATTGTTTACATCTCATCCCCAGGTCCATTCAATAGTATACAGCCTACCGGTCTCCCTGCCGCAAGTATGGTGATGTAATTGTTTACCGATACCGCTGCCATTCAGATCTGTGAATGGATGACACAACTGTGTGGGCAGAGCAACGCAAAGTGGTTTTAAATAAAAAAAAAACCAATAGGGTGCTTTAGAGAGAAGCACCTCGCAAATTTAAGTAAGTGGGGAGGAAGGACGGTTTTGAGGGTGCTGTCAGAATACATTGACCAGTGGCTGCAGATGATGGATTTCTGCTGAGCAGGGATGGCCACACACTGACCAAAATTCATCCAGTCCCTCCTGAATAGGCCGAATTTTGATCTGTCTATGGCCATATGGGTGTAACATGGAAAATGTTCGCAAAGGTGAACTAAACCTTTAATAAACCTCCATTGTCAACTTCTGGTCTCCCTAAATATCATTAACACAGTTGGCAAATACTGTATTGTAGCATCATAATATATTACTATTCATTACATGTTGTGAAATAACCCATGAAGCAAGGTTTACAGAAACCAGAAAACAAATGTAAAGTGAATTTTATATATCTCTATTAAAGTATTATTAACCACTAGCCTACAGGGCACTTATACCCCCTTCCTGCCCAGGCCAATTTCCAGCTTTCAGCGCTGTCACACTTTGAATGACAATTGCGCGGTCATGCAACACTGTACCCATATGAAATTTGTATCATTTTTTGTGACAGATAGCTTTATTTTGGTGGTATTTAATCACCTCTGGGTTTTTTATTTTTTCTTAAATAAACCAAAAACCACTGAAAATTTTGAAAAAAAAAAGTTTTTGTTATAAAATGTTGTATATAAGTGATTTTTCTCCTTCACTGATGTGCGCTAATGAGGCTGCACTGATGGACACTGATAGATGGCACTGATGGGCACTGATGAGGAAGCACTGGTGGGTGGCACTGATGGACGTTGACAGGCTTCACTGATGGGCACTGAAAGGCAGCACTGATATATGGCACTGATAGGTGGCACTGATAGGCGGCACTGACTGGCACTCATAGGCGGCACTGACTGGCACTGTTAGGTAGCACTGACGGGCACTGATAGGCAGCACTGATGCACACTGATAGGAGGCACTGCCTGGCACTGATAGGCGGCACTGACTGGCACTGATAGGTGGCACTGATTGGCAGCACTGATAGGTGGCGCTGATAGGCATTGAAAGGTGGCACTGACTGGCACTGAAATGCAGCTCAGATGGGCACTTATATGTGGCATTGATGTGCACTGGTAGGCACTGATATGTGGCATGGATGTGGCTCTGATGGGCACTGGCAGGTGGCATGGATGAGCACTGAGAGCTGCCACTGATGGACACTGACAGGTGGCACTGCTGGGGCTACACAGATCATCAGGGCACACTGATCATCAGTGCCCTGATGATCAGTGTACATGTCACCTCCGAGGAATGCCGATTACCAGCTCTCCTCTCGAGCTGTCAGCATGACAGCTCGAGAGGAGAGAAATGCCGATAACCAGCATTTCCCTATTGACAGCTGATCACATGACCGAGCCGACATCTTTTGCTCTTTCCGTGGATCGGTGATCCGCTGTGTCCGAGGGACACAGCGCACCACCGATTGCTGCGCTACGCGCTCCCGGAACCGCGCATGTGCGGTGAGAATGGGAGGACGTCATATAATGTCCTCCCATTCTCACCACGCATGCGCGGTTTCGGGAGCGCGTAACGCAGCAATCGGCGGTGCACTGTGTCCCTCGGGCGGGAGGCAGTTAAACCCACCGTGTTTTTAGCTTAGCACATTGAGCACAATAAAATAAACACTCCCCTGTAAACTTTTTGTTAAAATTCTTACCACTGCACTTGCATTTTTCAACATTCAATGCTGCTGGCTCCTGCTCTCTTTGTGTCTTTAGCTTGGAGAAATAGAGGAGAAGGAGAAAAGGAGTGCCTTACCATTCTAGGCCAAGGTTCTGTGTATTTCTATTGATGCATACAGTGTTGGCCAGACCAGGGCAAATTGCGGACCCAGGGCCACAACCAGCCCTTTGGCTGTCCTAATCCATCCCTTAATGCCTCCACTCACTGTCACTATGCCTCTCTGAACCTGTCATCTTCTTTACTTCCTAAGAGATGTTCTGACGCACAGCCCCACTGCATGGGAAAAAAAAATGTGCCCAGAATTCTGGTTTAACTTACCACCTACAGTCCCGAACTGTTTGGATGTTTTTTTTAGCCCTTAGAGAGCAATATGTGACTGCTGGACACCCAGACCACAGTGTAAGAGTTGTAGTCCATCTCTCCAGCATGCTGCCAACACAGGTAGGCGTTCACAGTACTAAACAAGCACACAAAATAAAAAAATTAAAAACATATTCTGTTAAGCAGCCTGACTGCATATGAACAAAAAAAGTAAAGCTTCAGCTGAGCTTTAAACAAATATATTTTTTGTGAATCTGCTGCAAAGTTCCTCAAAATTGCGCCAATAAGAGCAGTTCCTGTTGTAGGCGGCTGTGTGCCTTCTTTCCATTGCCCATGGGACTGTAAATGCCACCTGCAGGTCTGATAAGCAACTACCCAATGACCAAGTGCAGCAGCATGAGCAGCAGGATCACCAGGCAAGAATCTTTAAAAGAGGTTCAAAGACTGTTTAAAAACTGTACATTATACAATGAGAAAGTATGGCAGGCATACTAGTGAAGATTTTGAGTTTACATCCACTTTACAAAATGCCTTGACATTCATCGGACAAATGCCAGAACTTACTTATGCTTACCTTATTTATGGAAATCAACCAAGAAAAAAAAAAAGTAATAATGTATTTGATTTGTGTCTTTTGGACCGGCTTGAAGTTCAGCTTTAACCTACCTGGCTCAGTCCCAGCTCCTGTCATCCATCCAAAGGAGTGGTGTTAATTCTCATAAATAATAATGTTTCATGAATAAAGTATTGCTATTTCAATTTTTTTTTAGCCTTGTTTACTTTGAACTTGACTGTTCAGCTCGGGAGTAAGAGGTCATTTACAGCTAACCCTGTTAATACACAGAAAAGAAGAAGCCCTTTTATCCTGCCAAAATAATTGTTATTTCTGTCCAGGCAGTCCTGAGGTTTACACAGCTCTGCCACATAACACAGCCCTGTCTGGCAGGATATGAGACCTATTTTTCTCTGCTGCAGTTAAGGGATAATTAAAGCTGAATTCCAGACGAATATAAAAGACACACATTAATGTAGCTCTGTATTTCTGTGCATTTGGATCCATGCACCCGCTCCTGCCCGCATGTAAATTTTGACATGCAACTGTGGTCATGCAGCCACTGCGTCTGCATCCACTTCTATGGGCTGCCTATCTGCAGCTCCAAGGTGAATGCAGACACATCAAGATGTGGCTCTGCACTATGGACAGGGCTTATTGCCCATCTGAATGAGCCATAAATATTCAGCATTAATCCTTGTCTCTTTCTTCAGTCTCTACTTTAGTGCATACTGATCCAGGAAGGTAAATGAACTGTTATCTTTGTATATAAAAATGTATCACAGGGAAAGTTGCTGAACCTATCATGGGAAAACATGAAGAAGGAGGACGGATTACAGTGTATGGAAATGTATTTGACAAAGAGAAAACAGGTGTCGCACACACCTAGTGCATTATCCAAGGTTTATTGTAAAGAGTAAAAAATAATAAAAACATACTCACAAACGAAGCATGTATCTAAAAAGCATAGAAAAATGACGATGGCCACAACGGCAGGCAAGGTGTCCTCACTGTCAGTGCGGTCAAATGGCTGACGCGTTTCGGGGACGAATCCCTTTCCTCAGAGCTAATGACCAGCCTCTGATGCAGATGTGTAATGGATGAAAAGTGGGAGCCTTGCTGGTGATGCCTGAGTGGGATGGTGTGGGAGTGTGCTTTGTGCCTGTGGGGCAATGGCTGCTGGAAAATTATTTTTTACTCTTTACAATAAACCTTGGATAATGCACTAGGTGTGTGCGCCACCTGTTTTCTCTTTATCCAGTGGCTGATTTCCCCATCTGAGGAGGGCTGCACCCCTGAAGCATTTCCTTTGGTTTTCGCTGTCCTGATACCCTTGGCTTCCCTTTTGGCTGTGCATATCCTGAGGCGCTGGAGAGTACATACGATATCCGGTTCAAATGTATTTGACAGATTACAGTGTATGGAAATGTATTTGACAGATTACAGTGTATGGAAATGTAATATAGTTATTTGGGTCTTACATGGTAAAAATCAGACTTCCCTCTTATTTTTTAAGTGTGATTAAGGTTCACTTTTTCATTAATAAGATGACTGTTGTGGTCATTTTTGTTTCAGTAGCCCTTTATGAGGGTAAAGAGTGAATTCTGCATTTTAAAAAAATCTTTGGAACCTGTCCCTATTATTTCTAGATTGTGAATACACTGATCTGAAGCTCATATTCATCAGCATATTTGTGTAATTTGGCTTTGGATGCAGAACTCTTCACTGGAGGCTTCAGAAACCACAGGGACTCAGACACATGACACAGGGATGTCATGAAACGTATACAGCTAATGCTCATTTCCATGCAGCTACTGCTCATGCACATGTACCAGTACATAGACGAGCTCGGGTTAGTATCTAGCATGCACAGACACATCAGAGCACCTGTGTGTGCCAGAGTGCATATTGGTGCACATGGCCACACAAATTGGTGTCAAGCTGCCTATTTAAAGGAGACCCTTGTGTGTGCTAATCGCTGTTCTTCAGCTTCCTCATGATCAGTGGTCCTGCTTTTGCTGACTGATCTTCCATTGCTGACCTGGATTGTTCCTGACCTTGCTCTGTGGATTTTTGGATACCAACCCTGGCTTGCCTCTGACTGTTCTCTGCCTGGTATTGACCACAGCCTGGTTCTTGACAACATTACTGCCTCACTGTGTATGACCCTGGCTCACCTTGACTACGTACTTGACATGACAGTCACATCCTATTAAGTTACTTGCACCCATGCTTCTTTGAGCCTTGTACCTCCATCACCATATTCAGACCAATACCGCAAGGGAAGCCCTCTCGTCAACTCGGCCTCCAATCAAGGTACGTAACCCCCTTGCTTTGCCTCTGAGCAACCAACAAGCAAGCCCACACTGTCACATTTTATATCCAGTTTCAAATGGTGCTTTATGCATTGACATACCTCCTTAGACCCAGTCTGTCTGGATAGTATGGTCACTTGCTGACTTGGCACCATCCACAGGCAATAGATTATTAAAACAGTGCAGTGCATGATCATTTAGAAAAACCTTTATGATATACGGTAGATATGTTGGAAAAATATTTTTATGCAGATAAGTGGTGTATCGGGCGGCACAGTGGCTTAGTGGTTAGCACTTCTGCCTTGCAGTAATTGGGTTATAGGTTCAATTCCCAACCATGGCACCTCCTGCAGGGAGTTTGCATGTTCTCCCTGTGTTCGCGTGGGTTCCCTCCACACTCCAAAGACATGCTGGTAGGTTAATTGGCTCCTGTCTAAATTGTCCTAGTTTTATCCCTGGCCATGTGGGATCTCCTGCATGGTAGGGGTTGGGGAAAGACCTGGCAACCTACCCTGTAAAATAATTACTAAGAGAATTCATGAAAAAAGTCGCTTACAAGTGACGGTCCATGCAATCGCCAAGGGTCGAATACAACTGAATGGATAGATAGAATTGGTGTATTGCAGGTTTATTTAGTTTTGTTTGTCAATATTCACCCTAATAATGACTGCGCATAAGTGTCCTTGACTTATTTATTATCATCCACAGGCAGCTTAATTGTTCAAAAAGATACAGCATTTGAATCCAAAGCAATTTTACTTCAGTTAATTGTAATACAGAGGATATTTCAGTCTTTTCAACTGTAAGAAGACACGTTTCCTGAGCTATATCTCTGCAAAGCACTGACTGAGGGAACATGGAAGAAATGGAGTGGGTCCAGGTAGGACTGAACTAGCTATTGTTAAAACAGGAGGGGAGGACAGAGGAAGAAACCAAAATAACATAGTGAGCAAGTTGTATTGGCTCAAATCCACCACTAGATGACACTACCAATACTACATGATACTAATGAACAATAATAACCTGAAGCAATTCAATATACCACAGAAAAATACATATAAGTGGGATGAAATACTTAACATTGAATACGAGAACAAACTATGTACAAACATGAATACAAATAAACGTGCAGCGCTTAGTCCTCATGCACACTTGATTTTTTTTATAGCTGCTGTTTTTGGCTTTTGACTTTTTTTCTACAGCTAGTAAACCCATGGGTGGTGCATTACATGCTGACGTCATGCCGCTACTGCTGGAGCTTGGAGCGGCGGCCCATCTTGGTATGATTTTATACACACAAATATGAATGTATCCACATGGATTGCTTTTAAGGTTTTAAAATGAATACTACACTATAGTATATACAGTATATAAGGGGGGCAGCAGCAGCAGGACACCTAACCAATAGGAATGCATATGGTCAGTAAACTTTTTGATTTATCTTTGTATGTACCCCACACCAACCAACCCTGAATAAAAAGCATCTAAAGCAGTATCACGCTATGAGGTCTCTTATTGGGCACTCTGTGTGAGTGCTATCATTTGCAGTGCCCATCTGGAGGACT